ATGCAATCCTCCCCGTGCTTAACGTTTCAGGCTAGGGTATGAAATAAACTGCTGCTCCAAGGGGGCCTGGTTTTTGGAATCTTTGGAGTGGCTGAAGATAGCAAGGGGTAGATCAAGAGTTCCCATGGGATGTGGTGGCCTTGGCAGGTTCTCTCTTCACTCGGGAATTCAAATGGCCTCGCAGGTTCAAAGTAGTTAAAGACCATCCATCCTCTATGGAGGACATGGTGCAAAGAAGACCTCAAAAAAATCCATGGAACCTGTAGGAAGAGTCCAGCTTGGTGGGCTCCTTCAGTTTCTGATTTTCTGCTCTGGAGGTATTTCAAACCTTCCTTTCTCCAACCAAAATGACATCTCTAAACTAACTCTTCCATCCACCTCAGCTCTCTTGGAGAGAAGCCACAGGAACTGTTCCATGTTAACCTTGGCTCTGTAAGCCACTGTGTCAAAACCCATCTATAGGGGCTGCTTTTGAGACGTTTGTCTTTCACTTTCTGCCGGTATGTTACAGACTTTCTAGAAGTTCAGCAAAATTAAACTTTTCTTTCAAAATCTATCACCATAACACTGTTTTCCAATCTCTCTTCATTAATGATTTACTTTCTGTGGAACAAACGCACCAACTGAGGACAGAATCATTATTAAAATCTCACTTAACAACACAGTATCATTTTCGTCCTTTCATTTCCTCCATTATTATAAAATTCAAGATTCATTTCATCTATTAATATTAGTAATCTATTTTTTTTTTTAATTTTGACTAGACACAAATTAAAGGGGGGAATGATATTATGAAATTGACACTGGAACTTACTCCTTTTTCTGTAAAATTTGTTTTTTTCCCTTTCATCACTACCCTCCTAGCATCTAACATTTGCTTCTTTTGCATCCCAGCGGCTTCATTTGGTACCTGGCACTACTCCCATGGAAGTCAACTGGAAGAGGACAACAGACTTCCCTGGAAGGTGATTAAAATCCAGCATCGGTGAAGAGCTGAAGGCTGGAATATGGGTTTGGGAACAAGGGAGCTGGGTTCTGGTCTTAGCCCTGTCAAGAATTGCTCTGTGACCCTGAACATGTCATTTCATTTCTCCGTACTGCAGTTACCATGTGTTTAAAATAGGGACAAGAGTGTTTGCTATTTATTGTTCAAGTCTCCAAGCAAATAAAACGTGGTATTTAAGAGCTAACTAAGCAAGAAGGCACAGATCCTACTCACTGGAAATCTGTCCTAGAGTAGCAGCAGGCTGTGAGAATGGGGCAGAACAGAGATGCATTTTTCATAGAGCTTACAAATTGCTTCTGTTCCTTTTATAACAGATCATTGTCAGTGCGTTCTAATGAGATTTTCTTTGTGCCACTGTAACACTAAACATAACTGATTTTTATTTTTTTTTCAGCATTTCACACAGAAAAGCTCTGCTCTTGTGCAGTGTTTGCTTATCAGAGATAGGTTGGATTTGTAATGCTGTAGAATAAACAATTTCTGTGGTTATGGCACACCTATTTGCTAGCCTGTGTCTGTACCACCAGCCCTAGGAGCTGCACATTAGCTAAATATGCACAGGACTGCTCTTGCAATCTCTTTCATTGCAGATGGGGGTTACTACTGTTGCAGGTCTTCACAAACACTCAAGCAGTGAATTCTAATGATTCCATTTGCAACTGGAAAAAACAAGACAAGAAAGTCTGACAAAGCCCTCCAGGAGGCCCCTGATACCAGTGGTCACAAACCATCCTGCAAGGCCTTTGACTAAAGCTTTCTGCAGTGAAAACAGCGATGTGTCCCTATGCTAAACTATTCACAGCACTGGGAAGTTTCTCCTGATGTTGTCTGTTGAAGACAAAGCCCTTTCCTCACCCTACTTGCAGAAGGTCATGAATTGGAGTTGGAAGGGACCCTTAAAGGCCATCTGGTCCAACTCCCCTGCAGTGAACAGGGACACCCACAGCTCCACCAGGTACTCAGAGCCCCATCCAGCCTGAGCTTGGGTGTATCCAGGAACAGGGCAACCACCACCTCTCTAGGCAACCTGTGCCAGTGATTCACTACCCTTATACCCAGCTTTCCTCATATCCAATCTAAATCTCCCCTCTCAAGGGCACATTGTACCACTCCTCTTTGGATTTGCCTCACATGTGTTTGGCAGCCTGCTTTGTCCCCCCCTCAGACCACACACTTCTTTCCCTGTCAGCTTTTCCTCAAAGCCAGGTTTTCTACACCTCCAATCTTTCTCTTTGCACCTCTCTGGGCTTTTCCCAGCTGAACCATATCTTTTCTGAGGTGTGGAAATTGTTCTTGAGCCAAAGGCCCCACAATTGCCAAGCTGTATGGAGAGACTGTCCTGCCTCCTGCAGGGCTCCTCTCTGCACAGGCATCCCAGCACCACTGTGATATTTTGGCAGAGCTGGATTCCCACAGAACTCGTAAACATCACAGTGCTGGATCTTTTCTGCCTGGCAGCAGCTCGGCCAATTGCTCCTCGTCTTGTATTGGAGAAATTGATTTTAACTCCACTGCCAAGGAGTGCAACATTTTAATTACTTCTATGGATAAAGCCCATTGTTCCCATTCTGATCAGGACTTAAGAGATAAGTAAAGCAAAGCCTATAAGAGATCCTGGAGAAGCTTACGCAGGAACCCAGGCTACCAGAACGCTCCCATCCTGTACTTCTGCCATACGTCCCTCATCCTCCTTGTCCCATTCCACCACTGGCATAATTTTTAAATCTTCCTCCTCTGCCCCTTATTATTGATTCATATTCAGATCTGGTGTTAGTAGTTGCAATCTATTTAGTCTCTGACAGGAGAATAATTATGTGTCTGTGTACTATCACTCAGCACAGTTAGGATACAAACTGTGGTATCTGGGAAACATTGGTCACTTGCTGGATTAGTGGTAACTTCACTGCTGCCAGTTCCTGTTTCTCAACACAAATGAGTGACATTTGGTGGCAAAAACAAGGAATGAGATTGCTGGCCTTTGGAAGCAAGAGAAGCTGGGGGGATATGAGGCAAACAAAGCTCAGAAATGTAGTGCAACATTCTTTCCAAAGGACAAAATCCCAATTTATTGTACACCAAGACACCTACGAATGGATACAACCTTTAGACTGACTGTAAAATAACTTCTTTTTGGTTCTTCTGAAATCCATGGAGAAAATCATGGAATCATGAAGGTTGGAAAGACTGCCAAGTTCACCAAATCCAGCGATTGACCCACCCCCACCACCGCCACTGACCACCTCCCTCAGTGCCACAGCTTCACAGTTCTTGAACCCCTTAAAGGACAGTGACTCCACCACATCCCTGAGCAACTTGTTCCAACTCCTCACCATTCTTTTGGAGAAATTTTTCCTAATATCCAACCCAAACCTCCCCTGGCACAACTTAAAGCAATTACCTCTCGTCCCATTGAGAGAGAGGCACTATTAGTGCCCACCATTTCCTGGCATTATGACCAGCAGGGCTGGTTGCTCTCACTTTCGAATGCATTTCTCCCTGATAACATGCCAAAATATCCAAGAGCTGAAGGCTGGGAAGCAAAGTGGTTTCTTTTTTTACAGGCAGCGGTACCATACCTGCACCCGTATCAGCAGTGTGTCTCTCCTGTCTCTCTAGAAGATTGATGGAATAGTGATGGAGAACTTAACTGAATAGCTTTTACACCTGGTACTCTTATGATACACAGAATGCTCTGTGCTTGGAAGCTGTGCTTGGAGTGCAAAGCAGCTGATAGGAGGGTGAACCAATAAGACCAGTGTGGGTGTCTGTGAAACTTGGGACTTGCATGCATGAGCCCATCAGGGAGCCCTGCAGCATCCCAAGGTCAGGCAGCGTAACCAGGAGGGCTGAACAGAGAGAGAGGACAGACAAATTGGCCCACTTTGGCTGTGGGAGACTAACGAGAGGTCCAATACACACTGCCAAAGGGAGGAGGATGGACGGGATGACACCTGAAGATCCCTTTCAATGCCACCTCTCCATTTGTACTTCACCAGCTGCCAGCGCATGGAGATGGGTCTCCTCCAGACAACTTAGCTCCCAGTAAGCAAAGACCATCACCCATGATGCAAAACAAAAACCTGGACCAGATACAAACATGAAAAATCACTGCACCAGAGATGCTCAGTTCATTATGCAGTAAAACATAACAGAGCAACGTTGCAATTTGAAGCTCAGTGCATTTGCCTGGCTGTATACATACTGTGGTCTTGAATGCTTATCACCTCCTGCTAATGGCAGTAGAGTATTTGCCACAAAACTTAATTACCTTGTCTGGGAGGAAATTTTTCCTGATTCAAACCTCCAGGAGTGCGGTGTAGGATGCATTTGGCCCCAGTGGGCATTCTTATACTCTCACCACTGAAATCCGGGTGATAATCTGGGACAAACTCTAAAAATACAGCAGATGCTCTGGGACATGTTTTATTGGTCCTTCTACACGTGTGTCAGAAAGCACAAGGCCACAGGAAAGAGCTGAAAGCCAAAGCTCAGTGTGGTCCAGCTGGATGCAGAGAGGTTGGATGGCAGCAGGAGGGATAGGGATGCTCTCGGTTGAAATATCCCTGCTGGCATGGACGATTTCGGTGGCACGATGCTTCCATATGAACCTTCTCACTGTTAAATTGCGAATGGTTTAATAAAGCCAAGTCCAGCTTTTTAAATAAAACTTGGAATTTGAAGGATGATGCTCTTCTGCCAACCGAACACCTAGGGAGGGAGGAAGGCGAGGGAGCTGGAGAGATGAGTGTTTGGCTCTGTGTTGCTGTAGTCAACATACACACTGCAGAGTAGCTGTATTTTCAGGTCAAATATCAACAACTAAAGACAATGTGGGCAAATTAATGGTCTGACAGTGATAGGAAAAGGGGAACGTTCTTAAACTAAAAAGAGAGTAGCTTAAGGTTAGATGTTAGAAGGAAATTCTTTACTCAGAGACTGGTGAGGTGCCCCATCCCTGGAGGCGCTCAGGCCAGGTTGGATGGAGGTGCCTATGCCCACAGCAGGGGTGGAACTGGTTGGGCTTTGAGGTCCCTTCTAACACAAGCCATTCTATGATTCTATACTACACTCATTTACATAGGTTGGTAACTGAAGTGGGTGGTGGGACGTGTCTATGGGAAGCAACCAAGTGTGTTCTTCTGATTGAAGGAATGATGCACTCCTGGGCTTCAGACACTGCAAAACCCTATGGGATCTGCTGGCAGGCACCCAAGGGAGTGCAGCATTTAATACTGCCCTCACACGCTGTGCCCAGCGATGCTTCATGCCTTGCCCTCCAGCTCAGCTGTGTCAGCATCATCACAGAATCATCGAATGTATTGAGTTGGAAGGGACCCATCCAGTTTTAACCATTCCATGGGTAGACACCTCCTACCAGACCAGGTTATCCAAAGCCCCATCCAACCTGATGCTGAGCACCTCCAGGGATGGGGCATCCACAGCTCTCTGGGTCAAGTACAGTGAAGAAAACACCTGAAAGGAACCATGTGCATGAGGCAGCCCGCTGGCCCTTTGTCCTGTGTTAAAGATAGAAAATGCAGCCCTTCACCAATTAAGCACACACCATCATTGCAGTCAGTCATATGATGCCCATAATCCTCCTTGTCTGAGCACAGAAGTCTCCATGCTGAGCATGGACGTGCTCTGGTTCCCGGCTGCTGGCAGGGTTGGGGTGTGGATTAAGGCTGGGACTCTGCTTTTTTTGGGAAGCTTTATCGTGTGGCTCTGATGCTGCCTGCTGCTATTTAAAATACCCCCAAAAAAAGGAGGGGAAAAAAAAAAAAAAGGAAAATACCAAATTGTGGATGTTCACAAAACTGTCGGTCTAGGGGGTATCTCAGGAACAGACCCCTTTGCCTGCTGTATCCTCCTGAGCTGTCAGCACCTGATGCCTCACTCCATAGCCTGGAGCTAAGAAAAGCCCTGAAAGCAGCAGTGTCTGCCCCATCCCTCACTATTTTTACTGGCCTTGCTGAAGCCAGAGCACAAAGGGCAAATTTGTCAGCACAGGGGGGGCTTTTTTAGTGCAAAACCCACGAGCTTATTCAGACAGCAGCAGGGATGATGCACAGGAGCGTCTGGAGGTCCTGGCTCTCATTTACAGCTGCTGCAAATATAGAAATTCCAGTGAAGTTAATTGTAGATACCGACTGACAACTTAGGACGCTGTTATACAAGGGCTGCTCTGAAAGTAATGCCTCCTATTTTGTAATGCGGGCCCACCATATCAGAGGTGGATGTTGGTAGGATGGCAAAAAAGGTTGAACCTTCCCAACCATATTCTACTACATTTTGTTGCTGTGTGACAGATGGCAGCAGAGGGGCAGTCTGACAGAATGGTGTCTGACATGGAAGTGCCTATGAAGCAAAGATGTGGAATTCAACTCCTCCATGCAGAAAAAAATGGCTCCCATTGACATCCATCAATGCTTGCTGAATCGTTATGGAGACCAAACAGTAGATGTGCGCACAGTGAAAGTCAGACTCCCAGCAATAACTCCATCATAGCAGCTGTGAAACAGTGGGTACAGATTCGTATGAGCGTGGCATGCAGACTTGTTCATGACTGGTGAAAATGCATAGCTAATGGTGGTGCCTATGCTGAAAAAATAGTGTTTTGTAGCTGAGGATTTGCACTATCAAATAACGTTATTGAGCTCTTTGTATCAGTTGTAGTTTCCATGGAAATAAATAAGAGGCATTACTTTTGGAGAGACCTACGTGCTATTAAGACCCCACTCCATAGAACACATTACTGGGAAGGACTTTGATGGCACGACAGGGAAAGCGAGAATTTATTTGCTGAAGGTTACTCACATAAAGTCATGCACACGTACCCATATACACATTTCTGTTTCTCTTATCCAAGCATTTTGAGAACAGTGCGTGCCTCCTTTCCCACCCACAATACTGCGTTAGGAACCAGTATGGGAAATGCAGCCAGAACACCATTTTGCTGCCTTGGGTCGCCCAGTCTGTGCTCCTCACCTGTTGCAGGCGGGTTTTGCTTCACAGGGCTACAGAGCAATCAGAGAGCTGCATCACTGACCTGCACCCTGCAAAATAAATCCACATCAGCGCATACAGGAGGAGATAAAGGAAACACCAGTCCCTTCCCTCTGTATTTTCCGTGTTTTATAACACCTCTGTCAGCATACATTGCCATTCACTGCAGAAATTACATCTCACGAGTGCTACAATAGGATTTGAAGATAAATGACACATGAGCAGCTCAGCTCTGTGCCGGCTTAAACGATCCCAGTACCTTCATCACGTGCAGGATATCGGGATGCACAGAGCCCGCTTGTTCCAACTATCATGAGACAAAGACTGAGTGTCATAAGGACTCCGAGCAGCACAAAATCATCCGGGACAGAATGTATTTCAGTGTCCAGGTCTGGAGCTCCCAGTACAAGAAAGACAGAGAGCTGTTGGAGAGGGTCCAGAGGAGGCTCCAGGAGACTGGAGCACCTCCCCTATGAGGACAGGCTGAGGGAGCTGGGCTTGTTCAGCCTGGAGAAAAGAAGGCTGTGGTGTGACCTCATTGCAGCCTTTCAGTACCTAAAGGGAGCCTACAAACAGGAGGAATCAACTCTTTGAAAGGGCAGATAACAGCAGGACAAGGGGAAATGGTTTTAAGTTGAGGGAGGGAAGATTTAGGTTGGATGTCAGGGGGAAGTTCTTTACAGAGAGAGTGGTGAGGTGCTGGAACAGCTGCCCAGAGAGGCTGTGGATGCCCCGTCTGTCCCTAGAGGTTCAAGGCCAGGTTGGAGGGGCCATGGGCAGCCTGGTCTAGCATTGAACGTGGAGGTTGGTGGCATGTGGCAGGGTGTTGGAAATTCATGATCCTTGAGGTCCCTTCCAACCCTGGCCATTCTGTGACTCTGAAGGAGGGCTTTCAGACCGCCAGGGACAGTGATGGCACGTAACCCTAAGCCTAACCGCTACCTCCCTCCAGCCCCATTTCCAAAAACAATGAAGGTTGGTGAAGTTCTCAAGTGTCCTTGTGCCTGAGCTGTAACATTCCCATGCGCCATACAGCTCCTGTGCTTTCAGGTTGCAAGAGGTGAAAACATTTTAGCTTTTCAGGCGGGTAAACACCTCCCTGTGAAACAATGTAAGCGTGGTGGGCTGCCGCCCAGGTGCTCAGGGAATAAAGGAGAATCCGGGGAATTGCTTACAGGGGGTCAAAACTCACAGGGCACAAATTGGGATGCTGGGAAAGGGGCTCCGTTATGGTGCTGTGATTGAAACCCTGGGCAGCCTGGTCTAGTATTAAATGCAGAGGTTGGTGGCCCTGCGTGTGGCAGGGGGTTGCAGATTCATGATCCTTGAGGTCCCTTCCAACCTGGGCCATTCTGTGATTCTGTGATTGGGGAGCCTGACCAAAGGGTTGTGCTTCTCTTGGTCAGAGCTGAAAATGAAGGATGGACACTGATGGGTGTCAGCATGTTTACACTTTACTGTCCTATCCATTTCTCTATCCTTCAGCTGCTTCAAAACTTATCCTCCAACGAAATAAGCGGCCCTGTAGATGTTACCTCAGGTTTGGTCTTCTCTTGAAGCTGTTACATTCCCTGAGCTTCAGCCAGGAACTCCCCTCTCCCCATTGCCCCATCTCCAGCCCCACTGCACCCATGTGCAGTCACAGTCACAGAACGGTAGAACCATTAAGGACCAAAAGACCTCTAAGAACATCCGGTCCAACCATCAACCCATCCCACCATGCCACTATGTCCCCCACTGCCGCATCTCCATGGCTCTCAATGATGTCTGATCACTGATCATGTCCTCCATGATCAGTGACCCACTGCCTCCATGGGCAGCCTGTGTCAATGCAGGGAGCAGGGCTCAGCCCCCAGCTCTGCCCTCTCACAACCACATCTCCATCTCATTTCCCACCCATGCTTTAACTTAGCCAGGTGCCACAATGTACCTTGCTTTCTCCTGACCCCCTGTGGGCTTTGGTTTCAGTGCTGTTTGCTCCCTGTCTGTATTATTTTGGACGCTTTCCTGCAGCTGTACCAGCTGCACAGTCCCTATCACTCCCCCATACCGCATGTAGGAGGTTCTGTGGCTGCCCTCCCCTTCCACAGCACACACACGAGGAAGCATGGCAGCATAAAGGATACCGGTCATCAGCTCCTCGCAGCTCCACTTGGGATCCCGCTCACAGTTCAGAACGTGTTCCACTGTTATACATACACAAAAACCACCTTTCCAGAGATTACAACCTCTCCTTAAGTTTCCCAAAGGTGAAAAAAAAAAAAAAAAAACAAACAAACAACCACCAGAATTTCTCCGTGGAGCAAAGCGCTTCCCAAAGTTTGCAGAGAACGATTTCTATTTCCTCTTACCTCCCTGCAGGGCAAAATCCCCGAAGCTTAGCGCACCCAAGATGACCATCCCCTTTTTCCACCCTCCTTCCCTCTAACACCCCTCCGGGCTCCCCAATTCCGGACGATCGCATTATAATTGCAATAAATCGCGAGCTGAGCACATCGTCCGCAGCGACGGCGATGGAGAGAAGCCCGCTAACCCAGGGATTGCCCTAACAAGGGCAGCGCAGGGGCTCCTTCCGCACCTCCCGGCGCAGCGCGGCCGCAGGAGCTGCGGGCGGTGCGCTGCGCTCCGCGGTGTTGACGGGCAGCGCCGCGCCCCACTCAGAACCGCGGAGCCCCCGCGCCGCTCCGCCCCCCTCCAGCCCTCTTTGTATCAAACATCCGGGTTTCCCCCTCGCTGG